AAAGTAAAACATTAAACAAATGGGTTTTAAATGCACAGTTGACTCTGAAGCAATGTGCTTCTTCTGTCACATATCATTCACACTCACACACCACTGTCAGGGACAATTTAGGATTCAATCTCATGCACAGGGACACTTTTGCATGTGGACTGGAGGAACTGGGGGATCGAACCACCAACCCTCTGGTTTGTGGACGACCCGTTCTGTCCCGTGAGCCACAGCGGTTTATATCCAAACCTGTGACAGATGAACTGATACTGAGTGACTGGAAAAACAGCAACACACAATCTGTAGTGCAGTGTAATGCAAGATACCTAAAAACACTATACATAATACCAGACATACATTATGTCGAGGTTTTGTTAAGACTGCTACATTAGATATTTGTGTGTTAAATCAGTTGTATTATCTTTTTTTTAAGTGTGTTGTGTTTGTGTCTTTGGTCTGAATTAGATAGCATCACCTTTATTAACAAAGGGACAGCTGTGGTGTCATATTGTTAGATAAAGAGGTGTTTCTATTATTCTGTCCAGCCCAATTATATCAGTGGAGGTAGGTTGAATAACAGACACACCTCTGTGTAAATCAATAAAGTTAAATGTCATCACAAAGTGCAAGGTTTCAAAAATGATTGTATAGTTGAATCAAGGCTTCTTGAAAACAGTTTAAACAGAAACTACATGCCAATGTTGTTGCATTAGACTGTTTTAGTTTCAGCTTGACTGGCAACAATGTGTATGATATTATACTAAATAAGGATATGATGCAATTCAATATATCAACAACATAAATCTAACTATAATGATATGCTGCTTTATTATGTGAATCATATTTTAATGAGTGTGATGTCATGCTGTTTAATTGCCTATAAAACACAAAGGCTAACCTCCAAGATACAGTGCTTCTTCATCTGGCATGAGTTACTTTAACATATGGTGCTTCCTGCTAATACTCCTACTAAACCATGTAAGCGTGTCAGTAGAGTGAGCAGTCTAACTTCAAATGTAATGAAGCACCGTTTCCACACCCT